CAATTCTACCTTACAAATCCGGCTAGACCAGAGCATGTACATTGGTACAGATAAGAGCTGGAAACACAGGGAATCCAGGACAGATAAATCCCTTAAGACCAATAATGAGAGTAGCCATACCAGGAGGGTTAGGGGAAGGTGGGGGGGAAAGGGGGAACCGATCACAATGATCGATATATAACCCCCTCCCAGGGGGATGGACAACAGGAAAGTAGTGGAGGGAAAAGCAGTCAGTGTAAGACATGAAAAAAATAATAATTTATAAATTATCAAGGGTTCAGAAGGGCGGGGGAAGGGGGAAAATCAACTGCTACCAAGGGCTCAAGTAGAAAGAAAATGCTTTGAAAATGATGATGACAACATATGTACAAATGTGCTTGACACGATGGATGGATGGATGGATGGATGGATGGATGGATGGATTGTGATAAGAGCTGTATGAGCCCCCAATAAAATGATTAAAAATAAATAAATTTTGGTTAAAACAGAAAGAAAGACAGAAAGACCATGCTGGTTCACAAAGGGTGGTGAAGAAACCAGCTGGTGCTGGCTATTGGCAGGAGTATCTGCTGGGGTCTTAAAGGCTTGTCTCCAAACAAGCAACCATCTAAGTGAGGCATCAACCACGTCTACATGGAAGAAACACATCGGCCTGTGTGGGATTATAAATAATAACAGGCAAGTTCAGAGGAAGGAATGGTATCTGAGCTTCAGTTCTGAACACCGAGTTGGCAGGAGGTTAAGGAATCCAGTGGAAACCCCAAACCCCTTGGCAGAGACCCCGAGGATGAAGCCTCTGATCACAGTCCAAGGATCCGAAGAGCCAGGCTGCCCGGCAGAGGGCATTGTAAAGTCAGTCATGGCAGATGCAGTGAGGTTTTTAAAAAATACTTCCTTATCCGTTGATCTTCCTTTTGGCCCCTTTAAAATTTGTTCCAGTTTTAATATGTTCTCCTTTTTTTCAATTTACCCCCTATTTTATTTTGTCGTGTTTTTGTTTTGCTTTACTTTGCCCTTGATTCTGTTTTGGACATTTTTCCCGGTGTATAAAATCCAGGATAGGCAAATCACAGTCAACCACTAGATTCCTAATTCTCTAGGGACCTGCCAGGGGCGATCGGAGGGAAATTGGGGAGGAACCACAGCAGCTGCCAGAAAGAAGAAAATGTCCTAAAATCGATTGTGGTGGTGATTGCGCAACTCTTTTCAAGAGGATTGAACGATTGAATTACAGGACATGTGGATTAGACGCCAATTAAAAGAGGCCAATTAAAAACCAACAATGCCAGTTCAGTGCCCAGAAGCTCCAGATGGAAAGTGAGCTCCGTGAACTAGCAGCTTGGCTCTTCCCGTCTGGCCCTTTCTCCGTGTATCTCCCAAGGGTTCTTTCCGCACGGATGAGAGTCCCAGGCAAACTCAGCCTCTCCGCGGTGTGTGTGCTAGAAACTTCTGAGCCTGGTTCATCATGCAGTGAGGAGCAGCGGTGAGGCCCAAGCTCTGGAGCCCCTTACGCTCTCCCCTCCCTGTGTCTGGAGGCTGTTTGTCTTGTTTGGGCTGAAGCCAGTCAGAGGCATGAGATCAGGGTGTCCTGCCCAGGAAGACAGGGGGCTATTTGTCTTCTCTCATGAGAGACAGTCCAGAGGAAAGGGCCTAAAGACAGGGTGGGAGCGCACAGGCGGAAAGGAGTGACTGGATTCCTGGGGAGTGGGGTTGGGAGGGCTCCCGGTAAGGAGGTGTAGACCGGGCACAGATCCTGGCTCCTCTCTCTGGAGAAGGGCATCCTGGATAGGTGTTAGCAAGCCTGGATGTGGACGAGTTAGCAAAGAGAGCAGGCTATTCTAGACTTAACATCTGTGCTCTGTCGGATCCCAGGCAAGTCCCCTGCTTTCCGGTCTGCTGTCCTTCATTTGGGGCAGGAGGAAGCTCCGTGTCCAAGGTTGTCTCCAGTTCTGAAAAGCTGCTGGATATGAGGCCCTTCCTCCGAGAGAATAGAAGGCTAAGAGGTGACGGAAACTCCAGAGGCTTCCAAGTGACTACCTGCCGGGGAGTCCTCCCTCTCCGTTAACAGCAAACAGAAAGTTCTGGGCTTGTTCTAGGCTGTTGGAAATGTTCTGTCAGGAGACGATAACATGTGGTGTGTACACCTGCAAAAACTATCCAGATTGTACACTTAAGAACTGTGTGCAAATTAGACCCCAATAAGAAGGCTTTAAAAAATTCTAAGCTCAAGCAGCTGTTCAGCCTTTAGAAAGATCTGCCTAATTAGAGGGACTTCCTTCCTGCCGCCGTGCTGACTCATAATGGCCCCATAGGACAGCGCAGAACTGCCTCCTGTGTTTCTGAGACTGCAGCCCTTTCCAGAAGTGGAAAGTCTCGACTTCCCTTCCACGGAGGGCTGGTGGGTTTGAACTGCTAACCTTGCCATTAGCAGCCTAATGGGTAACTACTGCACCACCAGGGCTCTGGGAAGAGTGCATTCTAACCCAGGGTGGTTGGGAATCTCCCTTTTCTTGAGAACTTTAAAGGAAGATAATTACTGCCTGGCTGAAGAGAGCTTTCCAAAGTCCCTCCATCCTCAGAAATTGCCCAAATTCTGTCCCAGCCAGAGAAAACTTCTCTGTGCTGTCTAATGTCCACCTCTCCTACGACAATACAAACCACTCTTCTGCCCTCACAGAGCACAGCCATTTGTCTGACCACAGGCAAAATCAGAGCCTCCTAACTTGGACCCTTGGGGGGCCTCATTCCAGTCTCTCTGTCTCCTTCACCATTTCATTTGTGGTTCGGGGGCCCACACCCCACCCAGGCCCTTTTTCCGGTGCTGTGTGCCAGCCGGCCCTGCATCCCCCATCCCCGGCTGTTGACATTTTATTGTCCTCACCCATGGGAGAAAGAAAGGGGCCCTGTTATTCAACAATAGGGGAAAAGATGGAGACAATGGGAAATTGTTCTTCTGATGGGGTGGAGACAGAGAAGGAAAAGACAGACAGATAGACAGACAGGGGGCTGGGTAGAAGGGGTCAAATTTCTGGAAGCAGCTGGAGGACCCACAAGTCTGGTTCCTACCTTGAGAGCCTCTTCCCGTAGGCAATGCGCACTCAGGCACCGGAGGACAGAGGTGAGGACTTGTGGGGGGTGAGGAGGGCGGGTAGGGGGATGAGGCAGTGCTTGGCTGAGGCCCATGTGGAGGTCAGGAGGCTGCTGGAGCTTGACATGTGAACCTTTAAGCCTCATTCACAGTTGCTCCCCAACCCCATGGGTCCAATACCCTCCCACCCACCAATCAACCTAGCTCTTCTCTGACCCAAGAACTTCTCAGCAGCAAGGAGGCGGCCCCCCTTTCCTCCCTCATCTGTATTACCACTCCTTGCCTCTCCTGCGAGCCCACCCACCATCCCAAGCCCAGCGTCTTCTCCTGGTCCCGTGGCAGTGAACCCCACAGGCCAATGATGCTGGACCTAGGGGACACCAGGTTGGCCCCATAGAGTGACGGGCCGAGGGTGAGCTCACAGAGGCAGCTTTTCCTCAACGGGGCAAAGGAAGAGACAGGGCTGATCCGGCCTCCGAGGCCTGGGAACTTGAGGGGCCTGAACCTCCCAGGTGGCCAGCCAACACCTTCACTGGGGCCCTCACCCGCAAGCAGGACCAGACGCTGTGAGTGGCCACCCTCATCATCGCCGGGACAAGGCCAACGGCTGACAGGTAGGCAACAGAGCTGCTGGCGCTCCCCTGTTTCCTGGAAGGACCCTTGCTTTTGTTATTCTGTTTCTTGTGCTCAAATACATATCATGAGAGATGTGGCATCATAACCATTTCTCAGGGTCCAAATCTGTGACACTAATTATTGCCCCCATCCTCACGATCCCTAGCCGAAGCTTTCCCCCCATCCCACCCAAGCAGAACCGGAGTCCTCCGTAAGCAGTAACTGCCCTCCTCCCCCAGCTCTGGTCGCCACTGACGCACGGATGCCTCTTCTAGATAGTTCATCTGAGTGGGTTGACAGAAGCCCTGTGGGGCCTGGCAGATCCTACTGGCATCATGTGTTCAAGGTGCATCCGTGTCGTAGCGTGTGTCAGAACCTCGTTTCCCGAAGACCCAGTCATATTCCACTGCGTGTGCACACCACATTCCGTGCATTCACTCCGTTGCTGGAGGGAACTTGGGGTGTGTCCACCTGTGTGCGACCCTGGGTGAATATTGCCGGACAAGTGTCTGTTTGAACCCTTGATGTCAAGCCCTTGGAGCACATACGAGGGAGCAGACGTGCTGGGTGGCATGCTAATTCTGTGCTTCACTTTTTGAGCTGTGTGTTTTGAAATGCAGAAATGTTGAGCAGCGGCTGAAAGCTGAGACTGGTGTTCAGACTTGGTTTGAAATCCTAGCAAACGCCCTCTTCTTACTTGGGCGTGCCTTCCATTCAAGTTTCTCCGTTTGTAGGCAGCTTTTATGAAATGGGCTATTTTTAAATCATTTTATTGGGGGCTCATACAACTCTTATCACAATCCATACATACATCAATTGTAAGAAGCACATTTGTACATTCGTTACTCTCATCATTCTCAAAACATTTGCTCTCCACGTAAGCCCCTGGCATCAGCTCCTCATTTTCCCCCTTCCCTCCCTGCTCCCCATCCCTCATGAACCCTTGATAATTTATACATTATTATTTTGTCATATCTTACGCTGTCCAACATCTCCCTTCACCCACTTTTCTGTTGTCCATCCTCCAGGGAGGAGGTTATATGGAGAGCCTTGTAATCGGTTCCCCGTCTCTACCCCACCCTCCCTCCACCCTCCCAGTAT